AAAAATCGTCTGCAAGGGAGGAATCCATTGGCGTTTTCCTTTGAAAAGCGATAATAACACTTTTCTCGTGCTCTTGTCAACGATATTTCACTTTTCAGGAAAGGTAATAAGGCCAAAAAAGCATCTAACCTTCACAAGTCTCCTAACTGGCAGAGTCAATGAAAAAACTAAAAGAGAAATTGCCCAAAAATTGGAATTGACGCTACTGAAGACTTATCAAACCACTTAATAATGTAATCCCCGTAAATTCACGGAAAAACTCCTGTATCTACAATAAAGAAATCAAGAAAAATAACACTAACATTTTGTTGTACCTGTTGGCGGGTTAATATGCTCACCATACCCAACAATGTGCGCTGAATCTGTTGCGATCGGCTGAAACGAAATTGAAACCAGAACAGACGCGATTATATATAAATCCTTTCTACCGTTATCTGGATTTGTTCTCGGTTGTCCCGAGTTCAACTCCCCGACCGCGTTGTGTAAATAACCAACTGGTCAGCCTCCTATTTGCATTAATTGTTTATTCATTTACAGTGTCCCCAATTAGCACAAGAGCACTAAATACATTTCACATATAAATAAAGTTATTTATTTATTTGTTTGTTTGTTTGTTTGTTTGTTTGTTTGTTTGTTTGTTTGTTTATTTATTTATTTATAAGTACTAAGGCAAAGAGTACAACTTCTGGGTGGTTTTGTGGCTGTACACCAAATTAACGCGTAATAAATGCTGTGGCGAGCTTTCCAGCTTCAAGAGACTTACTGTAACTTACTATCAGCAAGAGAGGATAAACGATAGGAGAGAGTTAACTCCCCATGTAGGCCTAATTCCCAAGGCAATCCCTCGCTAGTTATTTTTTATCATTTTAGATCACCACCCGGCTTCAGAAATCTCAGGATCGGGTCTAGAAATTGCCAGTGCTCACGTGGACAGCTCAAGTGGCGTTACACACATTTTAATTCTCCACGAAAACATCAAGTGGCAACGCCGGTGGTAATAGGGAGCTTAAGCAATGAAAACGGCGACGTCGAGGACGATGCGTAGTCAAAAATAATTTATATTTTACCAGCGAAATTCGAAATTGTCTAGATCTGTTCGGTACGCCAGTGGCTCCGGCTATATATAGTCGTCAGGCCAAATATGCAATGACAGCATTCAATTCCAAACGGAAATACGAAAAATTAACCGTCGTCATTCGCGTTTCTCAAACTACGCAGAACTTAGTCATTTCACGTTCTTGTTTTGCAGAGGACAGCAAAGAAATGTACAAAGAAATGTACAAAGATTTACAAAGCACGTGCAAAGGTATTGTTTTGGTAAGGTGACGTTCTCGTTGCCGTCGTCGTCGTGGTTTGCTCAAGTTCCCTAATATTATCTGCTGGATAATACCCCGCATACCATATCCACAAATAACGAGATAACCTTGAAAGTAAGGCCTATATAAGGGATTAACACTCTTCATCTTCTCTCACCGTCAACTGTGAAATTTCTCCGTCGTTAAATCTGATTATTAGCAAACATGCCTATGTTTTATCATTAAGAATTGAGATGTGTAATATCTCCCCTTTCATGAGTTTTGTCTCAACAATTAAAGTTAAAGACGACCGGAGAAATAACGAGAGTACTCACGCGCATCACGGAGCCAGGCAAACCTGTTTAAAAACAAGAAAAACCAGCTTTAGAGTTATTGTACAAGCAGTTAGCGCATAACTAGCTAAAGCACTAGCGAGCTACAATAGATATATACATTCGAAGCTTGAGCGAGATTCGATCCCATACCCTCCGCGATACCGCTGTAATGTCCTTCTTACTTCTGTAAAAGACGGCAACAATTAACTTCTGTAAGACGGCGATAACTTTAATTAATTTGTATTCTGACTTCATCCACATATCACAAAATAATTTTTAACACAAGTAAAATATGACAATTGTCTACGGAATATTGAACAGGATGGACAAACACAACGTTAATTTCCCTGAAATTATCGACGATTACTAAACCACCATTGTTCTCTTTCAAGGTACACCTCACACAAGTTAACACTACCTTGGGCTCCAGGCTCCCCTTGGTCACCTGAAACAGATGCAGCAGAAGCCTGGATAAGAGGTACGTTTTTCAATGTTCGATATATAAACAATAGTCTCCATTTGGCGCGAAGATATGCTCGGATATTTGTCCGCGGACATTATCTGTTCCGAGAAGCGAACAGTTTCCCGAAAGCGTAACAGGAGCGCCAAATGGAGGCTATTCTGTTTATTACCCTTCAAATAATTTTCGAAAACTGGATAATTAACATGTTTGTTAATAATCAGTTTTTGAAAACTGGGAAATATCACTCAGATATGGATTATAAATGGATTATAAAAACAGATGTACACCTTTTCGCGTGTTTGAAACGTACCCGTTTCTCCAGTGTCCCCTTTCAATCCATCTCTGCCTGGAGGCCCGGTATTTCCGGGTTCGCCCTTAACGCCTTTAACACCTGAAAAAAAATAATAAAAATAAAAATAAAGACAGTTGTGAACCGTTCATGGTTTTGCTGAGCCAAGAAGAAGACGCAATGCTGATTAGCACCGTTTCAAAATAATATCATCTATCCGTGCTTTTCAAAATATTAGAATTGATAATGTAGCTGCCGTACCGTTCAATCAGCCTTACGTTGTCTCTTGGCTCATAGTTGTAGAGGATTAGACCATCTACCAGGGACGTAGCCGGTATGACGCAAACCTAGGCACTTACCTCAGTCATTTTTTTCGTTTTTGTTGGTTTTCTTATTGAAAGGGGAATTTAAAACACTGCTTAATACCTGAGAAGAGAATTTCATTATGGACATTGCCTCAGAACCTTGTAGAGCTCGCAATTGTTCCTTTATGTCAGTATCCCTGCTTGGTAACACGACGCGCCTTTGCAAGTTTTAGCAAGCAGTTGTTTAAGCTCCTAACGGAGCAAGCTCGCACCAGTATTACCGTGTTATGGGCACTTTTACTTCATCTCTCTTGCAAAGTGGCTCACGTAACACCATCTTGGCTTACTACGCATGCACTATTAGTTCCAGTCTACCAGCAATCAGTCTACCTGCGCGTTTTCGGTCAGCGAAAATCAACTACCAGAATCAGAAAATTCTGGTTCCGATTTGATTGCGCGCATACGTTCAAGTTCAATAACGGTTCCTGAACATGCGTAACCGCTGTAACTAATGCTGGCTCACTTTCCTACTTCTTTGTGAGGTCTCCATTTCTTGGTGTTTAGCAAAGCAATCAGAGCTTCTGGGAACAACACTTCAGTAGCCGCTTTAGGAATGCACAGTTTAACTTGGCAAATTATTTATGTGCTTTTATTGATTTTTCTAAAGGATTTTTTCTCAAATAAATCGCGAAATTACATGTTTTATGAAAGCCGATCATTACCTTGTCTTCCTCTTCGTCCACGCTGACCTAAAGAGAGCAAGATTTCAATTAAAAAAACAAATGCGGGAGGAGCCGGAGCGAGTGCAGCACTACAAATTAATAGAGATTACAGCGGCTTTCAATTGCGTCTCGTAAAACCAAAATCAAACCAATCATTTATCAGTTAGACTACTCATCCAATATCAAACCGTAATAACACCAAAACCAAAGTATTTGCTAGATTACTTTCGACACTCAATTGAAAACCGCTCTTTTGAACCACTCAGTTGTCAACAGCAGGTCATACTGTTCACTTTATATTTACCTCAAGTTATACTTTTCGCTTTACTTACCTGGAACTATATTTCAGTGAATAACCTACAAGCCTACAAATAGCTTTAGCCTTTACAGTCGAACACGCGACAAAAAATAATATTATGATTTCTTTGTACGAAAAATCAAGTATCATCACAGAAGTGCCTCACCTTTTTGCCCCTGCTCTCCTTTTGGTCCTAGAACAGAAAAACAATACAAAAAAATGGGGCTATAAATAAATTGTTTGTAGCGTGGCAATGGCCTTACAGTTGGTTGCGTGACAGTAGTTGTGATACTGAGTCACGCGCAATAATAACTAACTGTCGATCAGTCAGGATAACGGTTTGTTGACAGTATTGGCTTACAATGAACTTCATTTTACCCCATTTGCCGAAATGTTTAGAATTCTCAATTGTTCACCGCTACCCAGGTTTGAACTTTCCATTCAGCGTGTGTTTTTGGAAAAGGCTTTTCGACTTTTCAAGGCAAAGTAGCTCAAACATTTTACAGCATTGACATCCGAAGTTAAAGAATGTGCCAGAACACATGCATACAGTTAGAACAAAAAAATTCTTAGCGTGTCATTTTACAAGGACAGGACATGCTCATGTAAGCCAATAAAGTATTGTTACGATAAATATAGCCTGTCATTGAAAGATTATTTCTAGTGGTATGACAATCACAAGAGAGCTTGTCGAGAGCTTGATTTTATATCAACTTGAAAATCGAATTGTTTCGTTTGTATCAGTGATCATTTTAGAGCGAGTTCCCTTTTTATTTTCGAGGCTAGTCAGTGTTGTTTTGTTCTCTTTGAAAACGAACTACGTAGCGATATGATACAAGACTTCCGAGAAAGACGCATTTTATGGATTGTTGCCAAGCGTTGAATAAAGGCAAAATTTTTAGAATTCTCATTGAAAACTGGATAGAGGTTGAATGCAAGCAAACATGAGCGTGTAAATGACGTGTTTTAGGCAGAGTAAGCCCGAACGTAACTGAGAATACAGAGATTGATCCAAACTAAGACAGACTTCGAGGAATAATAAAGGAGTGCTACATGGGGATGCCGTATTCAAGCAATCACTCGTCAGACACGGTTCACGGGTTTCTGACCGCAAATCCTTGGGATGTAACCTTGTGCACAACTACG